TCTGGAGCTAGTGTTTCGGACAACATTCTACAACTACAGTATAGCTGGTTGTACAAAGTCTAATAAAGTTTTGGCATAACTGCCGAATTTATATAAAAAAAAAAGAAAAAAAAAAAAGAAAAGAAGATACATAGATATCATGTAGTTTCAAGTATTCTTCTTTATATAATTTATAATCTTCAGGAGTAATACATATAGACTATTTCTTTTTTGGTTATTTTTGTTTATAGGAGGTATTCAAAACAATTTTCTTTCTCTTCCAATACATTATATATTGGTGTGTTTTCCAACTATAACTAGCTTTAACTTTTCTTAATCAGTCATTTTCTAATAACAAAGAGTAAGAAATAACAGGTACTACTTTCATATCAATTGGGATAGTTCTTCCTTGAATTTTTACAGGTAAATTACGAATAATTCTCAAAGGTTTTAATGTAGTTTTAGTAGCAGCAACAATTAAACTTTGTAACGATTTATCTATTTTAAAGCCTAGTTCCTTTACAGTTTTGTGAGCAATTATACTTACAGATGCACTACTATCGATAATAGCTGAATAAGTTTGATCCTTAATATCTACAAAACATTTAACTAGAGTAATGTTATTAGTAGGTTTTGGTTTAGTAATCTCACAATTTGTTTTAGTAATATAGGTAGTAAGTGTAGTCTGAATAGAGTAGTTGTCCAAAAGTCATTCCCAGTTTTTAGATAAAGTAGAGGTTAAGTTAGATTTTTTAGCCATGTTTACATTTTGGTAGTAGAGTAAGGGTAAATGAATAAATCTAGGTTCTCATTTTTCTTGATTTTGGTCCCTAGACCTGCTTCTATTTTGAAAGTAGTTTTGAGAATAGTTTTTATTTTTACTTCTGCTTCTATTTCAGGATCTACTTCTATTTCTTTAATAGTTATTAGACCAATTGTTGTTGTAATTGTTATTGTTGTTATAATAGTTATTGTTATAGTTATTATTGTTTTAATAATAATTGTTGTCCCTGTTATTGTTTCTGTTGTTATTGCTTCTAAAATTGTTATTTTGCCTAACTTTTGCTTTTCTGGTATTGCATTCTTTTAGAAAATGATCATGTTTTCTACAATAATAGCAAATAGTTTTTTTTTTTTTGGCTGTTTACTGTTTTAATGATATAAACAGTTTGTTGTTATTGTTGAGTGAAGTTAATTCTAAGTTTAGCAATTTAATTAGTAAATTAAATAATAGCCTTGGTAGTATTGGTATCAGTAAATGCAACAAGTTTTTCTGCTTTTTATTGTTTAGCAGTTTCAATAGCTTCAACTAGAGTATCTCTATTAGCAGCTTGTACAGACATAGCAAGTTCAGGGTATAATCCTTTAATAAAGTATTAAATAAGAAAAGCTTCTAGTAGTATAATAATTTTATCTTTTAAATTTTTAAATTTCGTAATAGGTATTTATGTTGCCAAAGAGAGAGCCTTTTGTTTATTGTTACTAAACCTGGTTTTAAAAAAAAGTTTGAAACTAGTATTTGGAGAATTATTGTAGACAATTAATGTTGTATTATTAAATTCTTTAACCTATTCTTTAGCAATTTCTTTAATATATACTTTAGCTAAAGCAAATTAGTAAGTTTTATTCCAATTATTAGCTTTAATGGCATGTTCAAATTCATCAATTCAGTTAATAGGATCTTGAGTTCCATTACCTTTAAAAGATTCAATTTTAATAAAATTCTTTTCACTATTAGATTTATAGCAGCCATATTTTCTTCTTTACTACTTAATTCCAATTTGGATGATTCTTTTTTAAATGACTCTACTATAGATGATTCCTCTTCAGATAATTTTGCTATTTCAGATTTATTAAACTTATTATTAGCAAACAGATTTGTATAATTAATAGTATAAACTTGAGTATAGTCAGAGCCTATAGGTGAAGTAGATTGACTTTGATGAAGATACCAAGTTTGTTGGTCAAAAAAACCTCCAGGAAGTTGTAATATAGTATCTTCAAGAAGTAAAACTTGTTGAAATTGTTGGCCTGATGCAGGGTTCCAAGAGTCAACTTCTGCTATAAAGATATTATCTTAGGGTTGGTTTGCTTTCCAATAATTAATGGATAGGATTATCGGTAATATTTTGTACTCAATTGTAACACTACTTAAAGCTAATTATCTACAAATTTAAGCTACTAAATCATTATATAAAGTATTTTTAGATAGAAGCTACATGTATAAAAAATTTGGTAGCTCTAAGTTCTTTTTTGGATTTTATAAAATTTTTTGAAAACTGACTTTTTTAACCTTTTTTATCAATAAATTTTATTAGTAAATTTTATATTAAAAACTAAGTTTAATTTTTTAAAATTTTAAACTTATATTATTTTTAATATATGAACTTAATCTTAATAAATTTTATTAATTCAAATTAAAGACTTATTTTAATAACTTTATTTAAAAATTTAAGTAAAATTTATTAAAATTTTTTTTTAAACTATAGTTAAAAACTAATAACCTTATATAAAATACTAAAAATAGTAATGATTTTTAACTAACAGCTTATAAATCCTTATATTAAAGCAATATTTTTACAATATAACTAATAATAAGCTTTTAAATATAATAAGTTCTAAATATTTTTTATATAATTAAATTTTAAATTTGTAAACTTTATTAAAAAATTTTTTAATAAAATTCATGTTAGTAGTGTACTACACTAAAATTTGCAAAAAATAGCAGTTAAAAAAAAATTTTTTTAAAAAAAAATTTATTATTAATATTAAAAAAAACTCTGTCAAACTATACTTTGGCAATTATCAGATTTTTGTATATAAAAATTTTTTAGATAAGTAATTTTTTAGATTTTTAACTAGTAGTACAAAAGCCTAAATCCTATCTATTAATAATAGAAGTATTTTCTATAGTTGGATATATAGGAATATATTCAACTTGGTTGTTGTTGTTATTGAATAAATTTTCTTGCTTCATATTGATAATAGTTTTTGGGATAAAAGGGCGAATTTGTTCTTGTTCTTTAGATAGATAAAAAGGAGCTCTAAATAATACTAATTCATCAATACTATTAGTGTCTAACTCTTGGTTAATTAAATTAGTAGGAGAAATTATAGAACTAAGAGTAGAAGTATGAAACTTAGTTTTCAAAAAATCAGTACTGTTTAAAGAAAAGAGGACTTAGTAGTTAATATAGAAAAATTAATATTAGTTATATCTTTAGAAACTTTAAAAGATTAATAAAATTATTGTTTAGTATCAAATTCAAAAATTGTAGTAGTATTAGATAAAAATGTAGCAACTTGAACAAAATAATCAATATGTTCTAATTGCTGAAAAGTTGATTCTAAATTCTCAGAATATTGAATATACTGAATAGGTAAAGAGGAATGATTAAAATGATCAATATATATATTGTAGTGATTTTTGATTTGCTTTTTCAATCTGTGAAATATTAGTATACAAAATAAAATGTCAAAATAAAATAAAAATTACAGGACAAGGAGCTGGTATATTATTGTTATATCTGTAGCTAAAAATAATATCACATGTAGCAGAGCAAGCAAGGTCTTGTCTAACAGTATGTAAATTTTACCAATTCCAAAAGTTACCAAAATCTAAAAGAGTAGCTAAACATCGAGGATGATGTACTATTTATACGATAAATCAGGAGAATAAGCTTATAAACAGTGGCTATAGAGTTAATATGTTTGAGTTGGTGTAAGTTGATATTGTTTTAATAAAACTTAGTAAGAGAATCTGTTATAAGAATTAAATAAAATTATCTTCCAGAGATAATGTTAGTAGTAAAAATAAAATAAAATAACAATTTGGCTAATAAATATAATTAATAAAATAATATATACACAAAGAAGAATAAAATAGTAGCTAACAAAATAAATAATGTCAAAATAGTTTAAATAATTCAATACAATGAATACTATTATAGCTATTTAATACAATAGGCCAGAAAACTTGCAAGAAGTAAAAGTATAAACTCTCCAAGCTTAAAATAAGGGGGCATCCATATATAATGTTATGTAGCTCTTGACCCCCCCTAGACTATATAAAATTTTTTTAAAAATCTATATATTTATATATATAATTTTACAAAAACTTGGATATATTATGACCCAGTGATCTAATCAGGATGATTTTGGTACCATTCGATCCCTCTTCGTGAGACGAATCCAATGGTGCCAAAATCATTTCATTTGGACCACTGGATAACGTTTTATTAACGAAATACTATTGATTTTATAGTAAAACATAATAACCAATAGTATTTCGTTAATAAAACATTATTCAGTGATTCAAATCAAATGATTTTGGTACCATTCGACTCCTCTCCTCGAGAAGATTTGAATGGTACCAAAATCATCCAATTTGGACTACTGGATTAAATTTTAGACAAATTTTTATAAAAAAATTACGTTATATTTTGGGAACTTCCTTAAATATTGGAAAATCATTATATTTTGGGAGACCCCCTCCCCCCCCTCAAGCATAATGTTATTTATGGATGCCCCCTTATAAATGGATATTAATATTGTAATAATCATAAAAGAGAGCTTGGTATTGTCATGCTGAGTTTAACTCTAATGATTGATGTTAAAAAGGTTATATAAATTTGGCAATAAATTAGATATTCAGATATTTATGATTTATTAAATATTTATTATTAAAAAAATTTTAAGTTATGTTATCTTTATTTAAAAGAGAAATTTTAAGCAAACACTTATATATATAAATATTTTTTTAGAGCATGATTATAACGACTATAGCATACTCGTGATAGCTTCTGCATATTTGTAGTACTTGCTACAGCCACCACATATTTGTGGTTGCATAAACTAAGCCTCCAACAATAAATTACAATGCCTAATACTAAAGTAAGATTAACATGGCTATAATAGTACAATTATGAAAAGTAAGTAACAACTTAAAAAATTAGACAAATACAAAAGTAAGAAGACTCAAGAAAAATCAATTATTACAATATATAGAATTAGAATTAACATAAGTCAATTCTGAATCTACTTAAATATGATCTTAACTATATTAATATTAAAAAGCTTAAGTAATTTTTAGTATGAAAATATAGTAAAAAAAAATGAATAATTTTTAATATATTAAAATGTTAATCATGTGAGCTTAAATAATGCAATATGATTGGTAATTTTAGTGATTACTGAAATAGAGGGCTCTAATTGGCTGATGTTGACAGACAGATATTCTACTTTAATATATAGATATATAGGCTACTATCAATAAAAATAAAGCAAATTACCATTTTAAAAGAAATCAATACTTTAATCTTCATAGCTTATATCTTGATGAATTTTGAGGCCACTTTAATGATTTAATAGTCAAAAAAAAACAAAGCTTACAATTTAAGCTTTCTTTTGAATATTAAATTATTAAGATAGCATCAAAATTCATCAAAATATGAGCTATAAAAGTGGTATTAATTTTTTAAAAAATATTAATCTGCCTTATAGTAACCTATATGTTGTAATAATAAATTAATTTTATATTAATTTGGGATTTTTTAATTTCTTATTTGGAAAAAATTAGAAATTTGCTAAAAATTTATTCTAACCTGCTTATCTTTTATGTTCATTCATTTTCTCTTTCAAAAATTTTTAGAATCTTAATTCTGTACACTATTCATCATTATTGGCCGATCAAATTTATAGCATATTATATGAAACTTGGCATTAGAAATTTGGTTTAATTTGTATAATCAAAATTTGAATTAATTTATTATATATAAATCTCTGTACAAGTATATCAAAAATGTGTAGTTTGACTGCTTGTATGTAGTTTAAATCATTATACATAATATGCTCAATTAATTATCTCTTAAATTGTTTTGCAGCCAAATTTGCCTGCAAACTTTTTTAAATTTTAAAATTTTTTAATAAAATTTT